ATGCATCGAATGGGATTCACCGGAACTGTGGAGGTTGCTTTGCGATGAATTTTTCACTTCCTTTTGAGGAGATATTAAGTTAACAACTTAATGACTGAAGTAAACGTTACGATTCCATCAATAAGAAGGATATCAGTCATGTTGACAAATCGCTCGCTATTCAACCGTATTGTATTCGAGCAGTTGCGTACAATATTTATGGCCTATATATTGGAATTGTTGAAAATCCTTGTCAACAATGTATTTGTCCTAATTTTGTGTGAGGAATTTCCTTGAGATTGTGGGAAATCGCAGTCTAAATATGAACAGTTCAGTGAGAATCCTATGGTATGTCTGAGTATGAAGACATTTGGAGAAGAAACGTGAAAGCTTTCAAAGGACGCAGTTTGTTTGTTTGCAGGAGAATGTGGTCAATCCGGCCACCATTATTTGTCAGTATTTGACATCAAAAGGTTTCCAGTATAGCGGTAAAAAGGTTTATATGATTGGATCGAAAGGATTTTGTCAAGAGTTCGACAAAGCTGGAATCGAGCACTTCGGCTCTGGAGCGGACCCGATTGAAGAGATGCACATCAGCGACGAACATATGCTGGATAGCGACTCACCGTTATGCTCGATCGATGAAGAGGTACTTTACTTCGCCGGCTTACCAAATGAGCTTGTGGATGGCTTGAACTCAATTTCGCAAAGAGCAGCAATAATGACTGTTATATTGAGAGATTTTACAATTAGCATTTTCCTCATTATGCCAATACTTATTACTTCTGATTACTTTGTGAGATGGTTTTCTCAATGATGATATCTACTTTCTACAAATTTTGATCGAAAACAATTTGAAATTTTCAGGGAAGCGATGTTGGTGCTGTAATTGTTGGATTCGAGACACATTTCAATTATTTGAAATTAATGCGTGCCGCGAATTTCTTACAGGTGAGAAATGATCATAGAATCAACTTGGCTAAACTTTTGTTGGACTGGAATGAAACTTAATGATTTTTTGTTGTTCAGGTTCACATTGCAGTCATACATATAAGTTTTAACG